TTAGCCTGGGTTTTCTAAAAGAGCAAAACCAATGAAGCTGGTTTGAGGCTGTTAAGTCCCAAACCCAAAGGCCAGGTGTCAGGCTTCTCTTGACTCATGTGGTTGCAGGGGCTGACAACCCCAAAATAGGCAGGTCAAGTGGCAGGCTGCTAACTCACATCCCAAGAACCAGAGGTCAGAGGATGATGAGTCAGATGCAGGATCCAGAGAGAGGGTGAGCTTTGCCAGAACATCATATATATTGGATGCAGGCCACACCCCCAAGGAAACTCCCCTTTCAACTGACTGGCTGCTCATAACAGATCACAAAATAGAGGATGATTACATAATATCTGCCAAAACCACTGAGAATCATGGCCTAGCTAAGTTGACACATAACATTAACCATCACACTTGGTAAAGTAAATGGTCAGTGAAAAAGAGGAAGACCCTCAAAGATGTGGATTGACATAGTGGCTGTAACAATGGGCTCAAACATACCTACTATTTTGAGGATGGCACATGTCTTAGGCTGGGTTCTCCAGAGAAGCAAAACCAGTAAAATGCACCTATATACATAGGGAGAGATATAAAGAAACAGTTCACGCGATTATAGAGGCTGGAACGTCCCAAGTCCGTGGATCAGGATAGAGCCTTCTCCTGATTCACGTAGCCACAAAAGCTGGCGACCCCAAGATTGGTAGGTTGGAAAGCAGGGCTCTTGCTCACAGGCTGTGAATATCTACAAATCCCAAGACTGGCAGGCAATACCACAAGGTTTCTCCTGATTCACGTAGCTGCAGGGGCTGGTGATCCCAAGATTGATGGGTCGGAGAACAGGGCTCCACTCACAGGCTGTGAAGATCAACAAATCCAATCCCAAGATCGGCAGATAAGCTGATAGCTCAAGTCCTAAGAACCAGCGGTCAGATGAACAGGAGGCAGCCACAGGACCCAGAGCAAGTAAAAAGCCAGACGTCTGCTTATATTCGGAGGCAAGCCACACCCCCAAGGAAACTCCCTTTCAACTGACTCAACTCACAGCAGCTTCAGTCATGGGAATGATTACATATAAAACACTTAGAATCATGGCCCAGCCAAGGTGACACACAGTCTTAACCATCACAGCGCACGACTGGGCAACATGTTGTTCTGTTATTCATAAGATTGCTGTGAGTCAGAGTTGACTCAACAGCACCTAGCAGGTTTTTTTTTTTTTTTTAGTATACTAATCTATTTAAAATGGAACCTGCCTGGCTTTGTTATTAAGGCACTTCCTTTTCTTAGTGAGGTGAACTGTCAGCCAAGGTGGGATGAAGTATGGCTGTGATAAAGGTATCAGCAGGACAGCAATCACTTTACCCTCTGCAAGGGGCACAGCTACCTGCCAGGGCCGGAGCCAGGAAAAGAATCATGGCCATGATTTAGATTTGAATATTTATATAGTGCCAGCCAAGTCCTGAACTTAGACTGCTACTATCTAAGCATAGCTTTGTTGTACATTCATTTTGATCCCTATATTGACCCCTTTTCTTTTCAGAGAAACTTCAAATTATCGTAAGTGATTTTTAAATGTATATTTCACTCCTTATTCTTTTCCCTTTTGCAGAAAAAAGGCTTTGATTAAGAAAGAAGCAGTTGAACAAAGGAATCTCTTAAAAAAAAAGAAAAGAAAAGAAAAGAAATATTGGGCAATGTTTATAGTCTTGATGTAAAATGTGTTGGTCAAAACTGGGGATGAGTAGTTGTTATGGACTGAATCGTGGCCCTTAAAATATGTGTTGGACTCTTAATCCTTATTCCTGTAGATGTAATCCTGCTTGAAAATAGGGTTTTCTTTGTTATGTTAATGAGGCCATGACAATGTAGGGTGTGTCCTAATTATTTCTGAGTTATAAAAAGAGCAGGTGAGACACAGATTCGGGAACATAGTGGGGAAGACATATGCCATGTGAGGATCACCAAGAACCAAGGAATGCCAGGAGCTACTGACAATAAAGGAATCAATGAGGCCAAGACCCTTATTTGGACTTTTAGCATCTAGAACTATGAAAAAATAAATTACTGTTCTTTAAAGCCACCCAGTGGTTGTGGCTAGGCTTGGGTAGTGATTAAATACATGATCCAGATCTACCTAATTTTGAGCAAAGGACAAAGGACCAGTATGATCAATGCTACACGTGAGTTTGCATTTGGCCTACAGCAGTGTGGTAGCTCCTTTCCAAAGATGCCCCCCAACTACCACAACTACCACCACCACAATGAGCCTCACCTCTTGGTGATCACACCTTTGCCTGGCTCTCTCCCCTGAAATGTTGAATGAATCTTGCTTTTGACTAATAGAATGTGGCAAAATGATGCTATGTAAATTTGGAGGCTAGCTTCTGCCTTCAAGCTTCTGCCTTGGTCTGTAAGAATGATGGTTCTGATATTCAAGTCAACTGGCAGGGGCAAGAGTAGAAATTAATTTGCTAATGCAAATGAAAACCCTCAATAAGATCCACCAACTTGGAATGACTTACTGAGAACTTTCCATTTTTTGAGGCATGAAGATATAGACTGCTTAAAGCATTGTTTGTGGAACAGATGATACCATTGAGTGTTGTCTTGTGGTCGTTATTACACAGAGTAAACTGAATATGCTGGATATGGCTCTTACTCAGCAGAGCTTATGAGCTTAAATTGATGAGCTCGTGCCCGTAGATATTTATGATATAAGTCAGAGACCAGACGACCACAGGCAGAGATTACACATAGTATTACATATTCTCGATTTATTTCTGTTATTAGAAAGGATCCGGGAGCCTAGACCAGGTATGCCCACCTAAATATAGTAAACTCCTGCCTTTTGTCAAATCTTCTTAAAATGAACACCACAAGATCCTGTAGAAAGCATACCTGCTTTTACCAGAATTATGCACAGAACTGGAAAGTGGCCTAAACTCCACAGAGACAGGGTTTTACTGCTCAATTCACCACATGCTATGAAGCATCTATCACTAGGTACATCTGAAGTGTTAGGTGCCAGAATGATCCAGATGATTATGTCACACACCTAGGTGATGGACTTGTCTTTCAAGATTCACAACTGCTATCATAATACCTTACACTGAAAGCTCATAGCCATCCAGTGGAGTAGAAGGGACAACTAATCAAAACTGATTAGTGATTTTTTTTAAAGATGTCAGTGATCCCTCCGAGATATTAACACTGTGGTCTGTTTGTAGTATTGCTCCCTACCACATCCTCTTATCCCTTCATAGCACTTACTACCATCAGAAAGTAAAAGGAAACAATGGACATTTATAATAGAGAAATCTGGAGGACACTTCCTTAACCTACTGATCATTAATTCTGGGACAACCATTATGTGTTTCCTGATGGAAAATACTATGAAGAGCACAACATCAGGTATGAAAGATTTCTGCCCTCTAATCAAGCCTCTAAACCTTCCTTGCCATTTACAAGAAAAGCAGGAGCTAGAGGAAAAGTTAAATGACACCACGGAAAAAACCAAACAAACAAAACTGGACAAATCCTGAATGTGGAACACTCTACCAGATAACTTGCCTAGACTCTTCAAAAAAGGACTATTAGAGAGGCAATAGACGTAACAAATGCGATGCATGAATTCTGATTGCATCATCCTTCTACAAAAGCAATACGTAAGACTTTTTTTTTTTTAACGATTAAGGAAATTTGAATATGGACTAGATACTAAGTGATATTATTAAGTAATTATTATACTTCTTAGGTGTGATAATGGTATTGTGGTTGTGTAGAAGAATGTCTATTCTTAGGATACGCAGGAGATATGTATTTCGGAGAGAGAGAATGTAATTATGGCAAATAACACACTGAATCTTGAAGGAATGTATATGGGTGTTCTTTGAACTATCATTTCAACTGTTCACAGTTTTACAAAGAATTGGCCATAACGGGAATTGTTTTCAGATAGCGCTATTCCAGGGGCACCGAGAGAGGAGAATTATTATTTCTGTTTAATTCAAACACCTCCACCCAAAGACCAGTACTGCCAGCACTCAGCTCCTGTGTCTAATGGCCACTCCACCCCCCCGAAGGAGCTCTGGATGGTGACAACGCCGGGCAGGGGAAGGGGGAAGATCTTCTTTGAACTCTCCAGACTAGAGTTTTGAGACGACTTTGCTGAGAGTACGCAACTCCGTGGAATCCCCGTCCACACACCAGACCATAGAAACCCGACGTGTACCGTCCTTCATTCCCCTTTCAAGAGAACGAGGTTTCTTATTTCCTTATTAACTCTGTGTGGATTTCAACAAGTAAACTCCCTCAGGACTGACTTGAGGTCGTGCAAATTACGCAGCTTCGAAACGTGGCAAGCGGGCAAAGAGGGACGCGTCTATAAGCAGAAATTTTAGCCCAGGTTTGCCACTAACCTCCAGAAAGTTGTCTAACTTTTTCCAGCCTTAACTGTGAAATGTGTACGGCAATATTAATGTGCTTGGTTTGCAAGGTGATGGCGAAGATAGAACGCGCGAAGGCTAGCAAGCAAAACGCGGTCCCTGTTGGGGCGCACTCACCTGGGGCGCAGGGCCTCGTCGACGGGAGGGCAGACCAGCCGGCGAGCGGGCGAGGGGTGCCAGGGCCCCGGCGCGCGGCCGGCGCGCGCCCCGTGGTGCGTGCGGCTGCCGGGAGGCTGCGTGTGCGCGCTGGGCGGGAGCACCGACCGCCGCCCGGGACGTGAGTGTAAGGCGGAGTCGCTGGGGCGGGCCTGGAGACCGTCAAGACCTGGGGCTATAGAGCCACTTCGTCCGAGATCGGCCTCCCCCCGTACGCGTCCGTCTTGGGGACTACGAGGACGGGGCAGCGAGGGCGGCGGGGCGGGCTGTGGAGGGGAGGCACTGCCCAGTCCTTCGGCCCTCTCTGGAGCGTGGCCGGGGTTATGCAGGCAGTCGCCGCGCCCTGGGGCTGTGGCCTCGGCGACCAACAGTTGCCTGGCTCCGGTGAGCGCAGGGGAAAGGGCCGGGGACCTTGGGCGACGCCGAGGAGCCCCGAGGCGTGTGGTGGGCCCAGGCCGCGGCCCGGTGGAGCACGGCACCCGCCCTGCTTGTGGGCGGAGTCCCTGCCTCCCCGCCGTCTAGCGCCGTTCCGGTCTCCGCCAGACCAAGGGAGTGGCTCAGGGGGCGCGTTTGTCGCGGCGTTGGCGGAGAGAACTGTGTTTCGGTGTTGGTGGCGCACCACCAGGCCTGGGGCGAACGCATTCCCGAAGCACCATGTACGAAGGGCTTGAGAACCGAATTGTGGGAGGGTGCTCTAGGGAAGTGAGCGAATTGGGTGGAGACGTAGGGAAGCCCAGAGAAGTTAGGGCTACATGATTTGTAAGCTCGTAACGAGCGTACAATGCATTTTAAAAGAAATCTTAAAGGTACAATGGAGTCTCACTTTTCCAAATAGTAAGGAATGATGCCAACAGCAAGCACGGGTAATCGTTCCATTCTGTGTTCCTTCCGCTCCTCAACGCTGGACTAAGAAGGATGTTAGCAGCCAGAGATGGTTTTGTTTCCTCTGTGTATTTTGCAGAGTGATAGCATTTAGGTGACTACCTTGTCAGGAAGAGCTACTACCAAGGAAGAAATTAGCAAACCTCTTTTTCCTGTTGTTGTTTTCAGAGGCATGGAAGATTGGAGTTTGCAATCTTCAACTGGGAGCAAGTTCGTGTTTTAGCTTCCCCCAGGCGGCTTAGACAGAAGCAGGCAGCAGAGTTTGCTCTCTCAGAATGTGTTGATGCCTGATAAAAGTGCAAATTCTTAAACTTATATCAGTCTGGAGAAGGAAACTGTTTAAACCTAAGAGAGAATAGTCTGATTTTTTTTTGCTCTTAGACTATAAGTTTAATTCAAATGAATGACCGTTGGGTAACTGCAACTCTCTGTGGCCACATGTAATTCCATAATAGATACGTGAGGTGAGTTGAGGGCAAGAAGGGAGAAGAGAGGATCAAGGGTTTTCCAAATATGAAGTGTTGATGAATAACTTGCTGTTATATCAGCTTGCTAGGTATAGAACATTGATTTTTAGATGTTGTGGTGTTACATTATAACTCAGATATTCTCTTTCTGTTCTGTTCAGTAGTTCACAGCAAATCTGAGTGTTTTAATAAAAGCATGGAATACAGAAAACAACAAAAAATTCAGCCTGTGCTTTAATCTCATCTGAAATTTTGCAGGTAAATTCATCTTATTATTTGTTTATTTTGTTATTTTAAAATTATCCTAATTGGTTAAAAATCCACATAATAGTATCCATTATAAGATTTAAGGGTTATTTATTTAGCTAGGAATTTTATTGTATAGTTCAGTATCTTTCTTTCCACAAAGGTTTTGAGGAGGTGTAAGAATTAAGCTTCATTAAACCATTTTGGATAATATGTATATTTTTAAAAATTGAATTATTATTATAATACTGTGGTACTTTAGGAAAATTTAATAACAATATAAACTTAATGTGGTGGTCTTATTCAATTTCAGATTCAGACTCAATTCTCATTACCCCTAAGAAAATGCTCCAGTGGGCATTTTCTTATCTTTTCTTTATTGTTTGAATGATTTGCCTTCTCTCTGTATCTAACCTCCCTCCTACTCTCTTCTGTCCATCATACAGGTAGAACCTCATTTTAGGAAACATCTTTATCCCTTTCACAATTATATATCCCAGGCCAAATATGCTTTTCTATGGCAACTCTAAAAGGAATCATTGATTATCACTGCCCACCATGTGACATGCTCCTTCTCATAACCACACTGTCCAGCCTCTGGATGAGGTCACACATGTTTGAGGTCAAACCAGATTCTCTTAAATGACCTTGTACAACAAATGTATTCAAACCTTGCTGTGCATTTAGCAGCAGGCTCTTTAGCAAACATTTTTTATGAACAATGGTTTTATTTTAATAAAAAGTTACATACTATAAATATTGATTTGCTTTTGGCACCAGGGCTTTAGACACATTGTGAGTTAGAGGGGAGGGTAGGGAAGGATATTAGCTAGAAGCATGGCGATTTGGGGAGGGGCAGCTCCAGGTGAGGTGGAGATGAAGCCACAGAAGAGCTCTAGAGTCAAACCCCAAGAAGCTGCAGGAGGGATGTTTTGGCTATGGAGTTAGCCTGTTGTCTTAGTCATCTAGTGCTGCTATAACAGAAATACGACAGGTGGATGGCTTTAACAAAGAGAAATTTATTTTCTCACAGTCTAGTAGGCTAGAAGTTCAAATTCAGGGCGTCAGCTCCAGGGGAAGGCTTTCTCTCTCTGTTGGCTCTGGGGGAAGGCCCTTGTCATCCATCTGCCCCTGGTCAAGGAATTTCTCAGCGCAGGAACCCCAGGTCCAAAGGACGTGCTGTGCTTCCAGCACTGCTTTCTTGGTGGTATGAGGTCCCCAACTCTCTGCTTGCTTCCCTTTTATCTCTTGTAAGATAAGAGGTGGTGCAGGCCACACCCCAGGGAAACTCCCTTTATACTGGATCAGGGATGTGACTTCGGTAATGGTGTTACAGTTCCACCCTAATCCTCTTTAACATAAAATTACAATCACAAAATGGAGGAAAACCACACAATACTGGGAATCATGGCCTAGCCAGATTGGTACACAGATTTTTTTGGGGGGAGGTAATTCAGTCCCTGACACCGGTGTTCCTAGAAATTGAGAAATTAATGAATAAAAATCAGAAAGCTGGAGTAGATGATCAGTGTTTCTCTTCCCATGTGCATCTGACCCTGAACATGGGTATCTAACCAGTAAGCTAAGACCTTTTGTTGTCATCCTGTGGTATCCACAGCCCAGTTAATATTTAACAGCCCTGCCTACCCTCTAGGAGCTCTTTCAGGTAGGTACCATGTTACCAGCACTAAAACCAAGAAAAACTAAACCCCTTGTTATCAAGTCAATTCTGACTCATGGCGACCCCATGTGTTACAGAGTAGAACTGCTCCATAGGGTTTTCTTGGCTGTACCGTATTTTTACACAGATAACACACGTCTTCTATGTTTGTTTGCCAACCATGCCCTCCCCTTGCAAGGTATTTTCATCAGAACTCTATGCTAATTTTTTTTAGGCAACATGTGAAAAAAATTGGCATAGTAGCACTTATGAAAATACCTCTCAGGGTGGGGGGTGGGGGGCGCGGTTGGCAAACAAACCTAGAAGGTGCCCGTTACTTGCATAAAAATATGGTAATCTTTATGGAAGCAGATTGCCAGGCCTTCCACTGTGCTGGGTGGGTTCAAACCACCAAATTTTAGGTTAGTAGTCGAGCGCAAACCATGACACTGAGGGCTCAAATCACCTTATGTCTCTTACCTGAAACTGTATTTGACTATTGTTTTAGTAGCAAACTTTTTAAGGCTGGAGTTAACTAGTTTCTAGTCTAGGAGAAAAATTGTCATTGACTCATCTCTTAGTATTAAAAAGTTCTCTTTTCTAGACTGATAAAAATACTATCATTTGCACTTTTATCTGGCATCATCACAGCCTTAGTGTACAAACTCAGCTCCCTGCCATGGACCACTAATTTGAGCTGGGAGGTCTCCTCCCATCTTCTCCTGGTGGGCTGTACTTGTGATGTTCAGCTTGGTACTTGGAGCTGTGAACCCTTCTCTATGCCTTACATTGAGTATGCTCTTTGAGGGCAGGGCTTGTTGGTCTTCACCACTGCAGCCCCAGCCTCTAACACAGGTTCAGCTTATCCAATGAGTGAATGAAATACCCCTGCATAATTAAGGGAAAAGATATTGATGACTTAGGTCAACAGATAAGGATGATAAAGATATGTAACATTCCTAATCTAGGGCAACAATGGGAAGAAATTCTAACTAGAGCAGCTTCCACTGTCCCCTTCCTCCAGTGAAGCTGTAAAGAAACAGAAAGCACAGCTTTCTGGTCAGCCTTGCTGCTGTTCTGCCTGAATTGTGTGAACTTTGCTCAGCTGTAGTTTTCCCAGCTTCCCCAGACCTGTCCATCCTGTCACTCTTCCCACAGGCTGCTCCCTCACATGGCTGTCTCTGAGACTGCTCAGCCCAAGTGCAGAGGTATGGCCAGTTTACTCCTCTCTGCTCCCTGCCCAGGATTCTCAGTAGGCTGTGGATTGGGTCTGGGGCTTAGCTCTCCCACAGGCACTGTGTTCTGGTTTCAGGAGGCTGTGGATTGTGTCTGAGGCTGAGTTCTCTCATGGGCACTGTGTTCTGGTCTCAGGAGACTGTGAGATTGAGTCTGAGGCTGAGCTCTCCCATGGGCACTGTGCTCTGGTCTCAGGATGCTGTGGGATTGGGTCTGAGGCTGAGCTCTCCCATGGGCACTGTGTTTTGGTCTCAGGAGGCTGAGCTCTCCCATAGGCACTGTGTTCTGGTCTCAGGAGGCTGTGGGATTGAGTCTGAGGCTGAGCTCTCCCATGGGCACTGTGCTCTGGTCTCAGGATGCTGTGGGATTGGGTCTGAGGCTGAGCTCTCTCATGGGCACTGTGTTCTGGTCTCAGGAGGCTGAGCTCTCCCATGGGTGTTGTATTCTGGTAAGAGGAACACAACATTTGGAATAAAAGGCCTGAGTTTGGATTCCAGGTCAACCTGTACTCAGGCTGGAAATTTTGAGCAAATCTTTAAAGAATGATGATTATACTCATTTTATGATGGTTGTGAAATGTGCTTTGTAAATTGGCCCAAAAATGCTATAGACTTTAAGTCCAGAAGTCTTTCTCTTGTATATATTAAAAAAAAAAAAGCCCTTAAAATTGCAATGTATTGCAGATTACTAAGAGTGTTTTTGTTGGGTTCATGTGCACATATGACAGAAGCAAAAAAGATAATTGCAGCTGAATATTCTTTCTCCAGTCATGCTGCTGCTTTTTTTTTTTTCTCCTTATTTTTCTCAGCCCAAAACCCTATGTGTTATAGCCCAAGAAGTCTGTAAAAGATTCCTATATGTAGGAATTTTTTTCCCCCAAGAAACTACTTTGTTTGCAGACAGTTTGTAACCAGTAGTCATCAATTGATTACAACTCATGGTAACCATATGTCAGATTAGAACTGTACTCTGTAGGGTTTTCAATGGCTGATTTTTTTTTTGAAGTAAATTGCCAGGCCTTTCTTCTAAGGTGCCTCTGGGAGTACTTGAACCTCCAACCTTTCAATTAGCAGCTGAACACTTAATGGTTTGCACCATCCAGGGACTCTCACACAGTATATAGTATGTTTTATTTAAATATGTGTTTCAAAACCCAGAAGTCTTCCACCGAGTAGACTGAGGCAAGAGACTTCCATTTTAATAAGACTTGAATGAAAGAAATTCACTCATACATCTTAGAATACACCAGGAGGTGGTACTGCTACAGTCAGCAGGGGACTCAAGGGCAAAATTTGGAAATGGTAATGTGGTATTATGTATTTATTCTCTCTGTATACATAAAGGAGCCCTGGTGACGCAGTGGTTTAAGAGCTTGGCTGCTAACCAAAAGGTTGGCAGTTCGAATCCACCAGTGCTCCTTGGAAACCCTACGGGGCAGTTCTACTCCTATAGGGTCGCTATGAGTTGGAGTTGACTCGACAGCAACGGGTTTGGTTTGGTTTGTCTACATAAAACTAACAACCATAGAGAGCTGGGCTTGATGTGAGTTTTGTTTTTTAAACTCAGTGAGTCTTTAGATTCATTCTTAAAAATTGAACAGTTTTAAAGTTTATGAAAAATGAAACCTTTTCTATATATTAAATTTTATAAATAATGAAGTCATGGAATCTTGGAGTTGGGAGGGTCCTTAGAAGTTATCTAGAATAACTTAAAACTCAATAAGAAATTAAATTTCATAGCATGCATGACAGTAGCATGAAGATTTCCATTGATGAGGAACAGCCCATTCTAGTAATCTATATCGAACTTTCCCACTAATTTTTATCTTTGGGTTCCCATTTGCCTTCTGGGTAGCACGGACATAATTGTTCAGAATATTTAAAAGTGTTTATCATGGTTTGCTAAGCCTTTATTTTCCTAGTTCTTTCAGCCACTCCTCAGGGGAGATGGTAAACCTTTGCTAAGTGGGTCACCCTCCTCTGAATTAAACCCATGTTGTTGATGACACTTTTAAAATGGAACACATGTAGACAGGGGATTATGGACTCTTTTGCCCAGACATTTTTTGTTTTTTGAACCCAAGAAGAGTATATTAAGGTTTTTGGAGGATGTGTGT